AGAGAATTTAGTGAACTTAGGGACTTTACATCTAGGAGGTAAGTCTGTCTGTAACACGTATTCTGATAGTGGGGATGTGAAGTTGGGCCTACGAAAGCCCATGTTCAACCCATTTTGCGTCATGATTCTTTCGATCATGGTTGCCAGATTATTTTCCAAACCCATATTTTGGTATTGGATATGTTGAACTACTTCGTCAGCATTTTGGTTTCTGTTAACTAACCTTACCTCTGGGGTTATAACCCTAGGTTCTTCGACAGGCTGCTCCAATCGTGCCCTAAGGTTTTCTTCGACAGGCTGCTGGCCTTGGTTGATAGTGGTTTCTTCCTCTAAGAATATACCTTGGTTTCCCCTTATTGGCGCCCTTTGGGGCTGTCGAATAGGTTGGGGTACTCCAAAGAAATCAGCCAAACGCGTCATTTGCGTTGTCATCTGCTGATTCGATTGGGTGGTGTTTTGTATTAGAGGATTCAGCACTGTACTTAAAGTTTGTGCCAGCATTTGAACCATATCATGGTTGCTTTCGTCCATTTGTTGCCTCAAGACTGCTGTCGAGGCATTTGTAAGGCCATGTGCTACTTGGGACGTTCCTCCTAAGAGTTGGGTCCTATTTCTGTTCGCCATACCTACTCCAGAACCTTGGAGTGGTGAAGCTATTATGACCGCCTGCCATAAATCCTGGGGGAACATAAGGCCTTGTGCCCAGATTTCCCCTTGGTGGGGGGGTTCCCAAAGGCACTCTGGGGCCAGTGAACGGAGGTAATGGCCCCGTCGTTGTGATCGTTACTGCTGGTGTTGAACCAGCGGTTATCGCTTCACTTACGGTTGGGATAACCGTTGATCCCAATTCGTTTGTGGGATTTCATTATTGTTTGGCGGATTCGCCATCTCTTCTCTTCTTCTGGCAGTATTGGTATTGTTAGTGTACATTCTACCACTTCTCAATAACATACAACACTCCTCGAAAAAGATGATATTTTATGTAAAAAGATTAAACTTCAAAATCAACACACTGTCCCACCGGGTGTGCCAATTTGTTTACCGTGGGAATTGGTAAACAACCGCTGATCTTCCAAATGGTTACTTATTTGGTTACTCGCAGGATCGATCAGATTGATCCTAAGACATGGTTGATTTTGGGGTTTTGATTAAGTTTGACAATGGGTAAATGACAAGAAAATAAAGAAGCTTTATGTAAATTGCATGAAGAAGAGAACTTGATAAAATAAAGGAAGGCTTGAAGTAAGGGTTTTCGACAGGAAAAGTAAAGGAGAAAGCAAGTAAAGTTTCTGGAAAATAAATGACTTTGATTAATAAAAGTGGTGTTTCACACATACATTCTCAACAATTCTTTCTCACACGCTGGGTACTCGAATCTATATGAGTGACTTGTATATAATTGTGAACACACGCGAAAAACTGCGTGAACTACTAATATTTATACTAAACATCCCAAGTAACCGTCGGGCAGTTACACTGCTTCGAGATGACTCCACTTGGCACGTTCTCAATGTCCGACGCTCCAGATCTTTGCACGTTGCACTTGGTAACCGCTGGGAACCGTTTTCCCTCCAAACGTTTGAATTTCAAACCAACCCACTCTGAGCAATCGAACACCTTCGTCGAGAGATATCTTCGACGAGCCACACCTTCGACGTCGAAGGCAACCAAATTCTCCCTTGGAAGAAATCCTCTAAGTACATTGCCATCTTCCGATGGGCATTTCGACAGGCCCAGCTGGTCGAAAACATCCTTCAGCTTTGATGGCTGATATTAATAAAAACAAGGGTGTCGAATTTAGGAGCTAACACACCCACCCCTAGCATTTTTCTTATTTTTGGTTTCTTTGATTTTTCTTCCCCTAACCCTAATTCCTTTTTAATTAGCCATTAAACAAAAACTTTTTTTAAAACCCTAATTATTTAGGTTTAGGTTTTTTTAAACCTTTTTTTAAATGAATTAATTAACCATATTTTTTAATTAATTATAATTTTAGGTTTTATTTAATTAGGTATCAACTTAAATCATTTTTCATAAAAAAAAAAAACCTAACAAACATTCAAGCTTCTTCTTTTGTTTCTTTTGTTTTTGTCTTTTTCTCATTTATTTACATTTCTAGATTAAATGAATAGGGAGCGTTCTAATGTAATAATTTAGATTTACTTTTCCCGCATTTTTCTATTATGTAACTGCTCCAAGTATGTAATAGTTTAGGGTTTATTTTCCCGCACTCTCTATACTTATGTAACTGCCCCGAAGCCTTGTAATAGTCTTAGGTTTACATTCCGCACTTTATCTTCTGCTATTATATTCTTTATGCAATTTTTAGTAATTAGGGTTTGTATGGCAAGACTAAAATCAGCCGATAGCAAAACCCTAATTTTCAAGATAAACATAACTGAATCAATCATACTTTGCACACTTGCACCTCTAGGGTAACTTCTCTTTGTTGCCTTTTAGAATAACGGTCATATCCCTCGAAAGTGGGGATGCTTTAGAAAAAGAACCTCAAATAAAGATCATAGTCCCTCGATCATGGTCCCTTCTAGTTGATAAAACCATTCCAATGGTGTTTTAGATAGGATCTCTTGAAATAAATACACCCATAACTTCCTCCTGTCAGCAGTGTGTGGTTGAATCTTCCGAACATATGACCTTAGATGAAGCTTTGGGCAAGAAACACCGTCATAATTTTCAAAAGTGGAGACCTTGAACTTATGGGTAATGACAACTCCTGAGACTAACCCCAAATCTTTAAAATCCAACCAAACCACTTTCTGGATTTCTATAGCATTCAGGTCGAGGGACTATGGTTCTATCAACTATAAGGGACCATGATTGAGGGACTATGATCTTTATTCGAGGGTGTAGCGGTAAAATCAATGAATTCTCCACCGAGTATTTATTTATCCCATATAAAGGGAAAGGAAAATCATCAAAGAAAAACCTAAAGGGGAAAATCAAGGTCTTGTGACCAAGAGATTGGGTAAGGGAGTCGATTACGCGGGGGGAAGGTATTAGCACCCCTCACGTCTATAGTACTCTATGGGATTCACTGTTGTTGTTCCAATCAAAGGGTATGTTTAATCTAATGCTTAAAAGCTATAAAACTAAGAGGGAATGCATGCAAAGAAAACACGGGGAAAAGAAGGTAATGTTTACAAATTTCGCTCGGATGAGCCCCGTGACCAGATGCCTACGTATCCCTTTTAAGGAATCAGAGCGCCATAGTTCAGCTCACAAATTATATTTGTTTGTATTTTTTATATGAACAATGTTAAATTCAATCATTCCACCACTGGTCGACCATTGGAGACTCACGCACTGTAGTGGAAAGGATTCGACACATTCTTGGAAGAGAAAAGCCAAATGGCAAAAATAAATGGATTGGTTGGTATTTTTTACCATGAAAAGAATTTTTGTATGCTTAGCATTTTTTATACATTTTCAAAGAAAAATAAGTTTTAGTTTTAAATACAATTATGCAAAACGGGAAGAAAACATCAAAGAGGGACTAGTCTATCTCTATCCTAGTATTATCATACAATGATGGTCCTATGTCAAGGATGAAAGGGAAATCTTTACCCTAGGATAGCATGCATGGACAACTATCCTAATGTCTATCTTGAAATCTATCCTAATCGAGCAACCCTAAGGGAACATGCAAAGATCTAATTCGTTATCTCAATTCTAATTGAGTGACATCATCGATCGTCAACAAAAGGAAATAAAAATCCTAAGGGGAGCATGCAAAAGATCGAAGTCGTTATCTCAATTCTAATTGAGTGGCATCATCAATCGTCAACAAAGGAAAGTAAAAATCCTAAGGGGAGCATGCAAAATATCGAAGTCGTTATCTCAATTCTAATTGAGTGACATCATCGATCGTCAACCCATGAAAATAAGCACAAACACCATTAGTAAACAAGTGTGGAATGCCTGCTACAGGTCTTTAAACAACGACTTCGAGTGCATGCTCTTTATTTCCACTTCTCATGATATCTAGAAGGCAATAAAATGCAGAAAGACAAATTGGAAGTAGCATAATACCAAACGAACAATAATGTCCACAAAAAGCGCAACCAAAGCAAAGAAACCCGGAATACTTCGCGCGAGCTGGCATCAACAAATAAACAGTCAGAGATCGAATATTTGGAAATAGGTGTCGAAGCATCATCGATGTGAAAATAAATCACAATCGGAAACTCAAACATGTTCGCACATCGCACACTAAACATGTATAAAGCTCAAATCTCGACTAGCAGAAGTGAATCACAAGTCTCAAGTAATCGAAAAATCATGAATTAATTCCTAAAATCAAATAAAAAGATCTAACAATTTTTTTTTTGATTTTGTAGTTTTTTTTATTATAAAAAAAATTAAGAGAAAGCCCTAAATTCTACACATTTTTTATTGTTTTATTATAGGTATTATTATATTTTTTTTACTATTTTTTATTAAGAAAATTGGAAGAAATTTAAACTAAAAGAAAAGCTAAAAAAAAAACAAGAAATTTAAAAAATCAGAGGGGTGGAAAAATGGACGACAAGGGTATGAATCAAGTAAAAAGTTTAGGAACTGAAGGCCCATCCCATTAGAGTCTAGGAAAGCTACTTTCTTTTGTTTCAATTTCTTCATGCTACACAAAAAACATCTGATGGGCTTAGGGGGGTTGTAATCTGATCCAAACAATCAATATACATCAAGTTTTTTTATTTTGTTTATCACCTTTATTAAAAACTTGAATTAACAAAAAAAAAATATAACAGAAAAAAAAGAACTAACAAAATATGGAGCAATTAGGGTTAAATTTGGAAGTGTCCCTTCAACTTCTCACGTGAAGAACAAAATAGCTTATTCTTTTCCCCATCCTTCAAATGACGTGCTTCTTCTTATTCACCATACTACGATGGTGACTCCTTTCCCCCTTCCTCTGCCTTCTCCGTCTCGTTCATCTCGTCTTAGATTCATTTGTCTGCGGTCCGCAACCCCCGCCTTCGATGAACACCACGTCGCGCCTCTGTCATGTGATGTCGCTTCTTAATTGTATTTGTCACGACCTCATGTTCATCATCTTCGTCTCATCCTTTTTTCATCTCAACTACTTCATCTCATTTATGTCATCAATAACATCTCTGATTCATGTTTTGTTTGGACTTGCTTCACTTAGCACAAACAACAAAACAACATACTCGAAGAAGAAAAAGAAAGAAACACAACTTACCTGCCAGAAAAGTCATCTGGTGCATCTTCGAGAAGACATCGATGACAAGAAAACCAAAAAACACAGGTTAAGGCTCAGGTATGCCTTTCCGATTTGAACTATTCTGTCAATTCCTGATTCTTCTTCTTGTGCAAATTTCAATGACATTGTTGTTATTGAGTTCGGATTATTGATGCAATAAGATGATGATGGTGATGAATATTGAAGCGTTTGAAAGATTCATGTGCGACGAAGATGAAGACAGAGGAGTATGATGCAGTTGATATTGGTGGTGAAAATTTAGCATAGAGAAGGTGGATGCAGTATGAAGATGTAGGCTCAGTTGCAGAAAGATGAAAGAGTTTGTGAATGAAAATGGTGGTGAAGAATAGAGATCCCAGAGAAAACAGAGAGGATTTGTGAGTTCTTGAGAACCTTTTTGGTGAGTTCTATTTTTTTTCTTCTGATTTTCCTCCTCTGAGTTTTCCTGTTATTGTGTATTCTGGATCGTGAAAATCCTCCCCCTTCTCAATTCTGTTAGAACTTCTGTTATAGTTGGTTGAGAGTTGGTTAGATATTAGAATCAATCTCAACCCTTGATTAAAAGATCAGTTAGGGAAATACACAGTTGGGATTGAGGTAGTTAAGGGCTCTGAAAGTTAGTTATACTTGTTACCATTCTGTTAATGACTGCACTTTTCTTTTCAATTAGCAGCTTTACTCTATAAGTGACTGAATCATTGAGGAGATTGGGATTAGCTGGCCTTTCTTTGTGCATTTAACTAGTTCATGTCTGGGGCGCTTATGATAATCAGGGCATGGTGTAAATCTTATTCTACTGTAGATTGGTTTAATTGTTTATGATGACTGGTTTTATGAACTGCTTTTGTTAACTGTTTTTGTTGGACATTTTATTTTCACAAACCGAACCGTTTTAGTGTCGATTTGGTTTATTGAATTTTTAGTCATGAATTTGCACTTGTTTTGAATTATTAGGCAGGGTTGTATATTGACTGTTTTTGGTTCGAACGATATGTTAAAATGAGGAATTGTTTTGGATTTTTGAATGTGCACATGTCTTTGATAATTTTCAGGGTTTTTTAGTGATGATATGGATCAGGTTTCTAACTATTTTTGTTGTATGGTGCAGGGCTGTTTTGAGTTAAGAAAGCTAGGGGCCATCTGAAGGATTCATGTAGGAAATTTCATGAAGATGGAGCAACACACAATTACTTGATTTTTTATAGCCATTTTGTATACATTTTAATCTTTTGAATAATGATGTGATATTAATTTGTAATTGAACTTGACTATTATCTTGGATGAATGTTGATTGGGATTATTTTGACAGTTTGAGAATGAATTCAGATGAAACAATGACCCCGTGAGATTATGAACTTGAAATATCATTATTTAAGTCACAAGCCTGCCATTTTATTTCTTTCCGTTCACCAAAATAAACACACAGTATCATCATTTGCAACACATGAATTAAACTTCATAGCTTCCAAAAAAAATTGGAAGTAATCCTTTGTAGTTTAAAGACCCATCATGTTTAATCATCTTTGTTGATGGACGATAATTCAAAACTAGTGTGGTCTCGAATAATGCTCGAAATGATGAAAACCACATGAACTGTCCACTCTAGCTTGAATTAATTCGAGAACAAAATATGCACCATGACCCGTATGCATTCTAGCATCAATATTCAATGAGAGCATAAAATAAATACATTTCATCTGATTGACAAAACCTGGTCTCAAATTGAATAAAAAATTTCTAGAAGCAACCAAGTTCCTTTTGAAAATGTAAGATAAATGAGCTCCTCACCCATAGCCCAACTAACAAGACATATCTTTACGTGATGAAAACTTAATGCAATCCTTAATCAATTGACAAGTAACGTCACAAGAAAGAAATCTCCTGATTAAATCCTCAAAACTTCTCAAAAGGAAAACCTTGTAAAGAAAGCTATTGGGAGAATCCCTAAATTTTGATGACGAACTTCCAATGAGGATAGGATGATGATCCTTGTAGACTTGATGAGAAAACAAAGTCAAAATAAGAATCATTGTCGAATAACCAACACCAATACTCAGTCACAACGAAAACCGTAATTCTTTGGCTCTAGGTGCATGTTGATGAGGAGATGACTTGAAGTATTGAGAGGAATCAAAACCACGGCTTCATACCATTCTTAATGAAGAGACAATGAAATCTTGAGCACACGGTAAACCCTAAAGCACTTTTCCCAAATAAATTTTGAAGAAGACAACCTTATATCTCGAGGAACCCTGTTAGCGAAGACGTCTATGATTCTTGTGATCCAAAACCCTAATCTCATACCAAGAATGATGAGAGCACCAGTTAAATCAACTTTGAGTAAGGTAGCAACCCCAGTCCATAAAGAAAAACCATAATGCCAAGGAGCCCTTTAATCCTGTAATCGTGGAATTGATGATATGAATGATATATATATATATATATATATATATATATATATATATATATATATATATATATATATATATATATATATATATATATATATATATATATATATATATATATATATATATATATATATATATATATATATATATATATATATATATATATATATATATATATATATATATATATATATATATATATATGATGTGATTAGGGGTCTTAAGGGGAAAAATTGGGGTATAACAGCTGCCCTTATTCTATCCGGAGATACGAAGGTTAAAATCTTCGTCTTGAAGCGATTGAAGATACTTAAATATAAAACAAGCCCTATTTTTGGTCCTAAGATGCCATGTGATGCTTATGATTATGGATGTAAATTATAAACTTCATGCAAGTGAATAAGACACACTGGAGAAGCAAAAATAAAATCAAAAGACTACAAAAAGAGTTTGATCATGAAAATAAAATTCTAGAGAACAACAGGACTCCGGGGATAGAAATTTGAATCCATTGGAGACAAATCAACCCCGCTGGGGAAAAGAGGACTCAACTCTATTGGGGTAAAGTCCAGAGAGGAGACAAAATAACATTCCCTCGATAAAATGAGGAAAATGTAATGGATAACAACGATTAACTGATAACTATGAACTATCCACTCATAGAGGAGATAGCAAAAAGAAAGTAACATTAACTCACAGGGGATCGATAACTGCTAACCCGAAGGGTGCGAATAGAAATGGTAAGATAATACCAACTCAGAGATGACTGTAAACATCAACATCGAGACTAGTAAATGAGTGATTGGTATCAGTATTTATGAATGGTAACAAAGATTTGATGTCAGCACTTATGGCTTGAAATAAGGTTTGACATTAGCACTTATGGCTGTGAACAACTCAACTCTATCAGAGTAAGGTCCAATGAGGAGAAAAATATAAATGCCGACTAAGAACAATGATAAACTACGAACTCGAGGATGAAGGTAGAAAAAACATAGAAACATACCGACTTTTATTGAAGGTAAAGAAACAGAAGATACACCAACGTTTATTGAAGGTGAACTACCAACTTCCACTGAATGTAGAGATCAAAGAATAACACCAACGTTTACTGAAGGTGAACTACCGACTTTCACTGAAGGTAGATATAATAGATGTACCAACATTTACTTAAGGTAGGATCTGCATTAACGATAATGAGTTTCCCATAATTCTGGAATTCTACCTAGAACGGGTCTCAACTCCTTCTTTTACCAAGGTATTCCACTTGGAAATGGTTATATACAAGATATATCAAATAAAGAGACTGCCACTTGCAATGATTTCACAATAAACTTCTCGACGACACTTCTTTGAAGATATTCCATTTGATGGAGAATCAGATATACCTCCCCTCGTTCTTGACCATAAGTCACGAACTGGTCTTAGTTTCTTCTTTAACCAGGATGTTTCACCGGAAAAGGGTAACATACAAGCTATTTCAAATAAAGAGACTGCCACTTGCAACGATTTTACAAAAAAATTCTCTACGAGACTTCTTCAAAGAGATGCCATTTGATGGAGAATCAGATAACCCTCCCCTCGATCCTAGCCATAAGCCACGAACTGGTCTCAATTTCTTCTTTAACCAGGATGTTTCACTTGAAAAGGGTAATATACAAGCTATCTCAAATAAAGAGACTAACACTTGCAATGATTTCACAACAAACTTATCTACGAGACTTCTTCGAAGAGATTCCATTTAATGGAGAATCAGATAAACCTCCCCTCGATCCTGGCCATAAGCCATGAACTGGTCTCAGTTTCTTCTTTAACCAGGATGTTTCACCTGAAAAGGGTAACATACAAGATATCTCAAATAAAGAGACTTCCACTTGCAACGATTTCATAACAAACTTTTCTATGAGACTTCTTGAAGAGATGCCATTTGATGGAGAATTAGGTAAACCTCCCCTCGATCCTGACCATAAGCCACGAACTGGTCTGAGTTTCTTCTTTAACCAGTATGTTTCACCTAAAAAGGTTAATATACAAGCTATCTCAAATAAAGAGACTGCCACTTGCAATGATTTCACAACAAACTTCTCTACGAGACTTCTTCTAAGAGATGCCATTTTATGGAGAATCATATAAACCTCCCTTCGATCCTGGCCATAAGCCACAAACTGGTATCAGTTTCTTCTTTAACCAGGATATTTCACCTAGAAAGGGTAATTAACTGCTGTAAGAATATTTTAATGAACTGTCTTCTTTGGCATTAACAGACTTACTGGGAAGAACAGGTTGCTCAAATAAAGAGACTTCCACTTACAATGATTTCACAATAAACTTCTCTATGACACTTCTTTAAGGATATGCCATTTGATGGAGAATCAGATAAACCTCCCCTCGTTCTTGACCATAAGTCACGAACTGGTCTTAGTTTCTTCTTTAACCAGGATGTTTCACCAGAAAAGGGTAACATACAAGATATTTCAAATAAAGAGACTTCCACTTACAACGATTTCACAAAAAACTTCTCTAAGAGACTTCTTCAAAGAGATGCCATTTGATGGAGAATCAGATAAACCTCCCCTCGATCTTAGCCATAAGCCACGAACTGGTGTCAGTTTCTTCTTTAACCAGGATGTTTCACCTGAAAAGGGTAATATACAAGCTATCTCGAATAAAGAGACTGACACTTGCAATGATTTCACAACAAAATTCTCTGTGAGACTTCTTCGAAGATATTCCATTTAATGGAGAATCAGATAAACCTCCCCTGGATCCTGGCCATAAGCCATGAAATGATCTCAGTTTCTTCTTTAACCAAGATGTTTCAC